CGAATCAAATGAAATCTTTTGGAAGAACATACTAAAATTATTTACAAAAAGGTTAATAAATACAAATATTTTTGTAAAGGTGAACGTGTTGACGGTATAATATACGCGGATAAAGATATAGGCTCATACTGGATACGAGTTCGTGGCCTCGAGGAATGTGCCGACACGAAAGTCCAACAGTTCGCCATTTTGCAATACGAAGGTGGCCCACCGAAACCATCGACGCCTCAGCCCGACTATTATGATTTACCGACGGGTGTTGTAAGTGTTTACGCTTCACCATTTAATCTAATATTATCGATTCCAATTCGCAAATTATGATATCATATCGAATAGTATCAAACATAATCGATATCTATTTGACACTTTCACGAAAATATCGATCCTCGTTTGATACTTCTACGAAACTATCGATATCTGTTTGATACTTCACAAATGTATCGACATCAGTTTGATGCGTTTCGAACTGGTATTAGGAAATGAAGCCTCAAAAGCAATTTCGTCATTCTTGATTTTTCTGTCTTACAAGGAAAGGCACGGAAGTGTCCCCTTCTGATTTTGATGAAGCTCCGTATGTCTGTTACGCAGTCAAAAATAAAGGATACGTATTTTGTTTTATTGACTGAAACGCGACTTTAAGGGGTGAAACCACCCCTCGAAATTTCGATCCGAAATTTTGTTGTTATAAACAAATTATATTTTGGACAATTTATTAGCATCATAATTATTCACCATAAAAAACCGCAAACCTTGTCCATTCGAAGTTTTCATGTATCTCCTCTGGTTTTCGAGATAGTACTTTCGGGTCGCAATTTCGAGGGATGGTTTCACCCCTTAAAGTCGCGTCTCAGCTGATAAAAAAAAATACGTATCCCTTATTTTTCACTGCTTAACAGACATACGAAGTTTCATCAAAACCGAAGGGGGACACTTCCGTGCCTTCCCTTACTTTCGCATGTAGAATCCACCCTCTGGAAGTGTCCCGCATTCTTCTTACAACTCTGTATATGTAGTAATCGATGCAACGTAAAAGAGAAAAAGAAACTTTAACTAACCTGGTGAACGTATGTTATTTTTGAGATACACTTCGAATCTATCAATTCTCTGTGCAAGCTACTAGTCGACTTTATATTCCTTTGTATCACTGTCGAATGAAATTGTAGGCAACCCTCGTATAACACTCCTCATAATACAGTTTCGTTCCAACACGGTTGGAGAAACTATAAAAATGTTATACTTTATTCTGTAATTATAATTTTAAATACTGTTAAAGAAAATAAAAGGGTTTTGTTTACCTACAAATGGACTTATCACACTTTCAATAATAACAAATTATGAAAAATATGAATATCAATTTAAAATGTATATCTTAATTGAAGTTGGCTTATCTGAAATGTATTTTTTTAATATAAACAGTTACAATTAAAATGAAGATATTTTTTTCAAAATTAGATTCATACCAGTTTCAAAAAATGGCTTAATTATTGTAGAAAATACAAGTTTTATAGAATCTTACGGAAAATACTATAATTTAATAAATAATGGGAAAATATTATAAAGATTTTGGCATGGTTTACCTTTTTTCGAGATACCAGTAGAAATAGTATGTTTCACTTGTGGTTATTTAATTGAGAATTTGTGTATTCACTAGATATACAACGGGCTGGATGCGACAAACTGTAACACAAACAACACAGAATCCGTTGTTTGCGTGAATCAGTTGGAGAGTGTGGAGGACAAATCGGATTTGTTGGCGGTCGAACCGGATGCCCGACACATACTGCCATTCTGGTTCTTCAATTACACTGAATATGGCACTGACCTGCTCTTCCAAGCGGATACCTACCGAATGTTCTTTGGTACCTATTCATGCTACGACGACTTTTCCTTAAGGCGGTTGTTCTGTTTAAAGTCTAAAAAAATAGGCACATTTTGAAGTTCTTTTTTACAGAACTGATAAAAGATAATTGGAGTTTTTGGGATTGGTTAGACAATGTTTCGAGATGAAACTAATCTTTTAGTAATGTAAAAAAGACATCAGTTTATGAATACGTTTGCAAATCTACACAAGTCTTCAAAACTGCAAGATTATTGTAATGCTGTGGATTATTTCCCCTGAATATTTTTAAAAATATTTTGATCTAAATGTTATTACTTTATGACTTTTCTTTATTCTATGTTATTACTATTTTTACTTATTTTGTAATGACTTTATGAAAACTCGCGAATTATTATTATTATTGTTACTGTAAATATATCGAGAAAATGTTATCCTTCTCAGTCGCAAATGACAGATCTCAGATACTCTCAACGTTCAACAACATCTCGTTCGAGTCGCCGGCCTCGCCATTGATCTCGGACAGACGAAGTTACCAAACTATATGCAGGCCGAATGAACTTAGCACCTGCAACGAACCTTGTTCTTGCACACAAGTGATCCACGCTGATCTTGGCAGCGTACAGGAACTCGTAATACTTGATCAAAGTAATTACTTTTTTTTACTATTAATTCACGAACACACCCGTAGCCTGGTACAAAAAATAAGCTAATTAGTAATGTTTCATTTGTTCTCAACAAGGATCAATATTTCCCGTATCGATCCTTAACCTTGCAGAACTACTTGGTTGGAAAGTTGTTCAGTGGCAGCGTTCTTGGTTTAAGAGGGAAAGTTACTCAGATGTAAAATTATTTTTGAAAAAAAATTTTCATGTATCTCCTCTGGTTTTCGAGATAGTACTTTCGGGTCGCAATTTCGAGGGGTGGTTTCACCCCTTAAAGTCGCGTATCAGCCGATAAAAAAAAATACGTATCCCTTATTTTTCACTGCTTAATAGACATACGAAGTTTCATCAAAATTGGCACTTCCCTGCCTTCCCTTGTGAGATAATATTTCGCCCTTTTTGTCCCTATGCCCATCTGTTTCGTTTTCTTCTGACGAGAGATCATTGTTCATGATGTGTGCTGTCGGTTGAAAACATTTTTCGTGATACTTGTGTTTTAATAAAAATACGTCTCGACGTACGCAATATTTCCGGAAACACCCGAATAGTTAATGAATAATTATATTTCAGAACCATTGAGTGAACTGCATCATCCGTTCCACTTACACGGTAGCGAATTCAGCGTATTCAGCGTTGGTGTGTTTCCACGCGATAGAAATGTTACGAAAAAGGAGGTAAACGACGTGATAAGGGAACACAAAGAACGTCTTCGACGGGGAGAGTACATAAATCCACCTGGAAAAGACACCGTCAAAATTCCGAGTGGCGGATACGCGATTGTACGGTTTAGGGCTAATAATCCAGGTAAAATGTTTGATTAATTCGCAATCATTGTAGACAAAGATTCAAAGCTGTCCTCTAGAAATATAAAGAGATGTGCAAAAGTTTGAGGTATATTTTTTAAAATCGTGAAAGTGCAAAGTACTTCAGGACTTTATTATGTAATTTCTTTATAATGTATTTTTCTAGGATGGTGGCTAATTCATTGTCACTTTACGTGGCATCATATCACTGGTATGGAGTTGGTTATCCGTGTAGGTGAACAATCCGATCTTCCGCCGAAACCGCCAGGTTTCCCGGAGTGCAGCAATTGGAAACCACCGTTACATACTTTAAACGATTTTTATGGTTTCAGATATCCGTCTCTATAATAACGTTGCTGCCCTCTTAACTTAACGGAATTATTTGTTTAGTACTTACATCGTTGAATTATCATGTATACATAACTAATTTACAATAAATTACAAATTTCTCCCAAAACCGAAACAAATTCATTATTCCTGCCCTTGGTAAAATCGTAAGGTGACAGACGTGACACTTTCTTTAATAATAATTGAGTATGTAATATAATATTTATATATATATTGGTTTAGTTATATGTGAGTACTAAACAAATATATATGTAAATATTATATTACATACTAAATTATTATTAAATAAAGAGTGTTACGTCTGTCATCTTATGATTTTACCTAGGGCAGGAATAATAAATTTGTAATTTATTATTATTGCTTGTAGTATCCCTTGCCATTCAGCTTTGGGAGAAATTTGTAATTTATTGTAAATTAGTTATAGACATAAAACTACCGCATTAAGTATACTATTTAGTGAGTTATACTTTATTTATTCAAATTCAAGATTTCACTCCAAGAAAATCGAGAATATATAATTTTATGATCTTAATAATTTCATGTGTTATTCTCCGACAACCTATGCCATCATATGTATAATCTATTAAAACAGCATTTCCATCTTATGAAACAAATATACAATAGAGGATAACAATATCACCACTTTTCTGAATTTTTATATTTCTATTACTTTTTAACATCAACTTAGAACCATAATATAATGAGTTTTATATAACTTTTAATTCTAAATCAGAATATATTGCGTGCCATGTAACTGGCGTGGTACAACCGGGTAGGAGCTGCTTTTATGTGAAAAAATGAGTCAAAAATATAGAATAACATTTTTTCATTTAAGACTTAGTTTCCGAGAAAAATTGACTTTGAAAATCTGCTGCAGTTGAATAGGATTTGGTTAGCACGTCTGTTCATTGCATTCCGTTTCTACTTACTACCATGATGAATGTACGCGTTTCAGGTTAATTTTCAAAGTCAATTTTCTCGAAAGTGAAGTCTCAATTGAAAAAATTGTATTCTACATATATTTTCGACTAATTTTTACGAGTAGATTTACTCACTATTCAATCGTACCACCAGTTACATGACACTCTGTATATTAGACATATACTAGAGCTTTAAGTTGAAGTTAAAAAATAATAACAATAATTTAACACACTTCACAAATTATTTTTCATACGTAACATATAAATAAATATGATATCTAAAGTGTAATGGTTTCATTTGTGTTCTGAACACTAGAGTTAATGGAAACGATTCAAAATAACGAGATTTTTAAGTACAATCAATCATCATATAATTAACTTACAAAAATATAAATTTAATCTATTATATTACATGGTAACATATATTTCAATTATTCTCGAACACCATGTCCGGATGTTTGTTGTTCCCACAAGTTGGGAAATTCAAAGGAACAGGTACGAAACTTTCGCGGCTACCGACTTTCAATAAAAATTGCATACCAGGTCCGTACGTCCCAGGAGAAATCGCTGTGCTTCGTGCTTCCCATAACCAGTATCCTTAAAATAATTGTCCAATTAATCAAACTCACTAAAAGACAGGAATAATTACAATAACTCGTAAAGTTCTTGTTATTTCATGTAATTTAACGATATGCTTTACACGAGGAAAATCACAAATTCTATTCGTCTAAAAAATTTCTATGAATTATACAGGGTGTTCGGCTACTGGTGTCAGAAACTGTAAATAATAATTTTACACGTCAAAATAAAATGAAAATCAAGAATGACGAAATTGTGTTGGAGGCTTCGCTTCCAAGTTATTAATGATATCAAAATTGGGCTCAGTAACGCTTGAAACCAGGTTATCTGCATACAAGTGGTAAGAGTAGGGCACGACAATATCAACACATACACTGGTGTCGCCTAAAAAAAACTATATACACCTTACCACTCATGTTTACAGCGTTATAATTCTTTATAGTCTGCATAAAAAGGCGAAAATGCTGTTTAAAATAATTCACTTTAATTTTGTAAATTTTAATCTTCATCATCCTATAAAAATAAATTAAATTTTTTTACACCATTTTTCAATTGTGACAAAGATAACAGTAACCTTAACACATTCGAAACGGCCATTTATTTCGTTCCACTCCAATATTTTATATCGAACAAAATGGGATCCCTAAAATAAAGTACTTAAATTTGCGTTTGTGTTATTAAATTCAGTAATTATTATAGAATGTATGTATATTATTCGTTTTTACTATTATATAATTATTTAATAATTTTTCAAGATCTAGGATGGGAGATATTTATGATTGAATCCATTATTTCTAAATGCTTACCCAAATTGTCGGTAAAAAGACGAAGTATAACGTAACCCTTATTTGGTACAACGAAACTGTCTTTCTGTGGCGGATCTACCAAATTTCGATGCAACTTTCGATCATAGTTCATATACATAATTTCTTCTTTGGTGACTGGACGATCGAAACTGCCCCTTCCTACAATACTTGCACTATAGCCGTGTACATGGAACCCATGAGAAGCATTTCCACCAAAACCTGAATGACAAACAATTTTCACTATTAGAAGATAATTATGAGTTAGGTTAGATTTTATAACATCTTTCGGCTGCACTTCATTTTTTACAGATTTAATTTTTCCAGCAGGTATATTATACTACGCGTAATTATGTTTTGCTTAACGTGCAATAATGCGACTATATCGATAGCTATAATAAATTTTCAACATTACATTAACCAATAAGTAATCCACTATTCTGTTTTAATAAAATGAATAATTAATTAAATAAATAAATAAAACTCTTTTCTTTTTCAATCTCTTCATCCATTATTCTAAAAGCTATTACTTTACAAAGTTTTACTGTTTCACAAATTGTAGCAAAGGTGAAATCGAATTCAGGAAATATGTTTTACCGTCACATTATAATATACGTTAAGTACTGATGGCGAAGTAACATACAAATTTGTACAATAAGAAGCACCGTGTCTAACATTCGTAGTAAAAAAAATTAAATTTCGTTTAGAATTATACTGAACCGAAACTCCGGAAATGGCTCTAATAATTCTTCTTCAAAATGGTGGAACGGATGACGATCAAAACTTTTGGCTTCACGAGTCATGAGTTTACACAACATTTGGCCATAAAGGAGTCTCACAAGTTGATTGTCCAATGTATTCGTCTAATTCAGCTACATCAAACTAATTCCTGTTGCCCAAATTGGAAACAAAGACCAAAAAACGACAATGCAAAATCATCTTGATATGCACAAGGCTTCGACAATTACTTTCTCCGCCATTTTGAAGAAAAACTGCCACAGCTATTTCCACTGCTTGTATAATTATCATGAACAATGTTGTATCGCTTTAGAAGCAAACTCCTTTCAATAATTGCTGATAAAAAAGTGTGAATGTCATACGAAAAATTTCTGTTTCAACTTCGATTTGGAGGAGTTTGGGATCAACCCTATATATTTCTCCCACGACTCACCTTGGTCTATTAAAATAATTTCGACATTTCTCTTGGGAGAAACTTCAATCATCTGAACACACTCGCAAAATAATGGCGTGTCTACGCATTGCTGTGAACGTTTTTCGAGGCTACAAATTAATTCATCCGGTGTATTCTCTGGCTGCGATAGCAATGGCGAGGAAGGATATTTGAATGACATCCCATTAATCTGTGCTATCCTTACTCCATCTTGATTTGTACCTGCAATCCGCACATGGGAATAATAACAATACGATCTACTGATGAATATTTAAACCTTTACATTCCAAGACTCTTTTTTTCATTAGAAATGATTCGAAACTCCGAAACATTAAGTCAGGCTTAAAGGGTCTTGCCACTGTGAAGCCCTGAAAAATTGTCATTTTGTGGGAATTTTTTTGAGTGAACGAAATGTTCAACATAAATAAAGTGTTGTATATTGATTAATACAATCGTTGAATTCGTCCTTGAAAAAAGCTCAAGGTAGCTAGATATCTAAAAAAAAATGCTCTATAATATTATATAATACATTCAAACGTTTCCTGATACAATCGTAACGAGTTATTTTAGAGCTTGTATGTTATGCATAAATTACTTCTTATTATTTTTTACTTCAGATTTTTATATAATGTCCCTGAACTGTTATTAGACTTTATATAACCTAAGCGAAAATCGTAGGTCTGAATGGAATAAGAAATAAATACTTGCGTTCTTACTTAGGTAAGAGGGGTAGTACGCGCATCCGAAAAAATTGTATCTGTTGTCAGTCATTTCATCCGTGAAAGACGGATAATTATTAACATCGAATGGAATGTAAATAATTTCGTCTGCATTAATGTCCGACGATGTTCCCTTCGCTCCTTTCAAATCCAACGAACAAATAACATTTTCTCTTTCGTTACAATTGTAGCCGTTTTTCGCTATTTTGTCGTCGTTGATTTTCAATGGCTCCTCGTCCTTTATCACTGCTGAGTCTATCTCTGCGTCGTTATAAAAAATGTGGGCTGTCTGTTGAAGCTTTTGACAATCTTGAAGACCCCTCATATCGACAAGATACTTTCCAGCTGGTTGATTTGCTTCGATGGTTACGTCATATCGTTCGCCTGAAATAGAATTTATTTAAATATGTAATAGGGCCTTTTTCCATACTATACAACATTTTTATTTTTATATTTATTTCTTTGTTTATGTTGATGTAAAGAAAATTGAATAAGTATGTGAAGTACAAATTTTGTGTTTTATTAAACTAAACTGAAAATAATCTCAATAATTCTAATATTAATTATATACAATCTAATAATAAATTGAAGATTACAATTATTAAATGATAAAAAATTAATAGTAATAATATTAAAACCGCTAAACCTAATTGAGACAGAAAACGTAAATAAAGAGAAGAGAAATGGTACCATCTTAGAGGATACTTTAGATAAATCTACTCTAACTTTCAACCCGTTGCTTTAAAATGTTTTTAAAATGTTGTTAAAAAACATTCAATCTCCTCGTGATTGTGAATACACTCTAATGAATTTGTTGACAGTTCAATATAAGATAAATAGATTCATTTACTTTCAGTACGTTTATTTTTGGTTTCATCGTATTTTTTAATCGTCAACTTTTACAACAGTTACACTGCAATTTTGTCGACGTCGGTTCTCGATATTACACGAAATTAGAATTTCGTTTCGAAATGTTAGTTCGACTAACAATAACTACCTGTAAAAGAAATTCGTCGTTCGATCGAGCAGAACGCATACAATATCTGTATTTTTATAACGCGGAAAGGAATGAACAACTTTCACTTACCGATCAAAGTTAAGATACGAGACAATTTTCGTAAACGTAATCGTACAACGACACGATAAACCCTCGATTAATTGTCCTGTTTCTTAACATTCCTCGGTTAGTGGATCTAATATTACTATATTTTAATGAAAAGAGCTAAAAAAGAAATACAACATCTGCAACTCGGCCACGTATCAATGCCATTTAATAGAAATAAAAATAAACTTACGGAATCGAGTATTTTAAAAGAGAACAATGTTTAAGGTATACATACATATATATCTTACGTTTAATAACCAGACTGTGGATGTTTATGCATTTACGGCGTAATGTGAATGTAAAAAATAGAATACCTAACGTTGAAACTTCCGTATAGTTTAAATATGAACGTAAAAAAATACAATACCTAAAATTAAAAATACTCTTGTACATACAATTTTATATACACAGCCGACTTAGAGTTCACAATCTCTTGTCGATTTTTTATTAAAATTAATCATACAATATATTTACTTCGGTTCATAACCAGCGTTATTATCGACAATGATTATATTTCTTAACTTTTGATACGTTTTCACGCATATAAGTGTTGATGATTATTTGATTTTGTTTGTTTAGAGAATTTCCATTGTCCTTAACATTCTGACCGCCATGGAGCTCGCATAAGGTAGACGCATCTTTCGACTTAAAGTAAAATATTAAAAATAACACATTCATGTCCGCCGTTTCATTACAAGACTATCCCCAGTTACCAGGAATATTTATTTCCCAGCTATACGTGACCCAAATGCTGTGTCAACGGCTCAACTAGGAAGATGACGTATGACTCACATGTTGGGTCATCGGTCTGGAATGTGTTACTAGTGAAACGTTCAATGAAATAAATCTGAGAAAAATTAAGTATCGCGACAAATATTTGTATGTACACTTTTGAGTTTCTTAAAGAAAAGTTTTAAAACTCAAGGAAGATCTAATGGATTGGCAGTCAAATTGTTAAACTACCGGCCAGCGTTGTAGTTTCTCTTCCACATTCTATTCAAGCACGCAACAGAACCCTTAATAAACAGGATATATTCCTCTTCGACGCGACTTTTCACGAATTCGACCGTATAGATACGAATTTGCATAAACATCCGCAGTCCATTATCAGGCGCACCAATAAGTAACCCAATAATTTTTAAATACATGGCAATATAATAATGAAAAATGTAAATATTTTCTGAACCACGAATAATTTTCTAATTCTCATCTTAATTCCCTTGTATATTAATACTGATTTCATAAGAAAATAACGAATTACTTATCAGTACACTTGATGCGAACCACGAGCAAAAATTTCCGATAAAAGGATCGTCGTAATAGAAAAATATAAAACTATCGCAGAATCAGGAACAACGATGAATAACATCATAAAGACATGCACCGGAGATTGTTAAATCATGCGTAGTACGCGCTAACTATTTTAAAAGGAAGACCTAATGCTGAAGGTATGAAACACGACACAGTCTTTCATCGAACGAAACGGACAAACGATTTGAGAAGACTCTCTCTCATTCACTCGCTCTCTCCTCGTTTTTTTCGGAGGGACTTGTGTATTTTTTTTCCGATAAAAAATAGTTCGCTATTTATACAGATTGCTACGCCCACTATTTAAAGCCCTGAAACAGTACCAATGAGGCAGGTTGTACCGGAGACAAATGACGAACGACGCCGTTAGAGAGTTAAGCTCTACAGCATTTTTGTCACATCTGAATACAGATTATCGAATAACGAATAAAAGTTGAGAAAACTTTTTGTCCACAATTCTTTGGAATCGAGGTAAGAATTTCCTTGTCAGAAACTGAAGTAATTTTAATTCGAGCAAATAGAAATTTGCACTTAAGTGATCATTCAAGGAGCAGATGTAGTAAATGGGATTAGTAGACGCCATCTTGGTTCGTTATTTCCACTCGAATAAAATTTTGTCCATGTCTGTAAAATGTACGAAGTTATATAATTAACGTCCCATAATTGCTGGAAACGAAAGTGGCGTTGTACCAAATAATTTGCCTATTTCTGGTACCATTTTTCTGTCGAGAAAATAAAATTCAGATTTTAATACAACGGCCATTATAAATTGAATGACCACCGTTCTGGCTGTACCAATTACAGGACACCCTGTATAAACAGTTGTGAATCAACATTTCTCAAATCAAATAGTTCGTAGGAATATTATCACGTGAATCTTTGTAATTAATCTTATCGAGTATTATGGTTGTTAATACAAGATTCTGAAACGTCAAACAATCAAGCTTAATCGATAATGTTTGTGCAAGTTTTCAAGCTCGAGGATGAAAAATAACCTCAAGCATAATTTTAATATTTCACAGCGTTTTAGTTCGAGCAATAAGAAAAATGGGTCTCGAATTGTCTCTCTAAACATTTCATTGGGCGTTCGTCGTATTCTGTGCAGCGATGGTTTCAAAACTCGACACCACCACTGTATCGTGAATCGTTCTATGTTCAAGCTGGCTCTCCAATGTCATCGTTTTTGTTTATATATTTTACATTTAAAATCACATATCCGCGATTTTTTCTGCCGAATATGAGTAACATTATGTTCAACGATCGTACAGAAGGATCGACAACAAATCACTAAAAAAATATTCGATTGGTGGACAGGTAAGATCATGAAAAACAGCATTTAAAATGCAGCCTTTAACTAATAGGATGAGAACCGCTTATGCATCTTGGGGGTAACGGAAGAAGAGCTTTCTATTCCCTCTTAATTTTTCCTCCGTTACGCTCATGGTCATTCTACACTCCCCAAAAGTGAGACAAAATTATTCTGGTTTGCCCTACATAATAAAAATGATTTGCCAGAACTCGGAGCCAGTTTGATCCTACACTCGTTTTTCGCGATCACCACTATAGAGACTATGTTGAAATTTGTGGGGAACCTTTTAGATACGAGCAGACTGATTTGGGAAGTTAATAAAATTAAGGATCAACTTGGTGCCCTCTGATCGTACTATACAATTGTCAAATCAGGAGACTCAACACTGAATACAATCAATTTTAAATCCTTAGCATCAAGTTCTATTGCATGGACAATGAAATTCGAGAATACAACCTTCCAGTTTTTGGAAACAGTAGCTTTTCTTGGTGTTCCAAATTCATTACTCTAAGATGCCAGACGAGAAGAGTTTAGGGACATTTGTTCAAAAGCGATCACGGAGAAGGAAGGACTTGGGTACGAAGAAATCATGGGTGCGAATCTTCTCAGAATTAACACACTCATGAAATAATGTATATATCGATAAAATTCAATAAATTTAGATTAATAATAGAACTGTTTCGAATATCCTGAACAATCGAAAGATTTATGCTGAAAATGCACATAACACGCGAGACGCCATATTGAGAAAGATTTCACCGAACGGTTTTAATTCTACACGAGTATAACCTTAATTGATAGAATATATCCGAAAAATTCCGAATTTTGTTCCCGGGCCTCGAACGAGTCTCCCAGGGAAAACGATCCAATCGTGTACAATCATTAAAAAAATATATAAACAGTTCTCTTATCTCATTAGTGACCGGCCTCGCGGTGAACGCTAAATCCGCCTAGCTAGTCGAAGCTGCGAATTTAAATAGTAAATTTACAATCGCGCGCAATCAACTACAATTATTTAGTGGTGGGTCACCAAACCGTTCAAACGTGTTTAAACATCTGACGGGGGAGCCTAAACAGTTCAGACTGAGTTCGATGATGGGAAGACGTTCGAACTGAAGGTCGCTTCCAAACAGTCTGATCACGTTTCAGACTCCAAACAGTTTGATGACGTTTCAAACTCCAAACAGTCTGATGATATTTCAAACTCCAAACACTCTGTTGACGTTTCAAACTCCAAACAATCTGATGATGCTTCAAACACCATAAAATCTGATGACGTTTCAAACTCCAAACAGTTCGATGACGTTTCAAACTCCAAACAGTCTGATGACGTTTCAAACTCCAAACAGTCTGATGATATTTCAAACTCCAAACAGTTTGATGACGTTTCAGACTCCAAACAGTTTGATGACGTTTCAAACACCAAACAGTTTGATGACGTTTCAAACTCCAAATAGTTTGATGACGTTTCAAACTCCAAATAGTTTGATGACGTTTCAAACTCCAAACAGTTTGATGACGTTTCAAACTCCAAACAGTCTGATGATATTTCAAACTCCAAACAGTTTGATGACGTTTCAGACTCCAAACAGTTTGATGACGTTTCAAACTCCAAACAGTCTGATGATATTTCAAACTCCAAACAGTTTGATGACGTTTCAAACACCACAAAATCTGATGACGTTTCAAACTCCAAACACAGAGACACAGTTGATTGTCCGTCTATTAGTAAATAAATTTAGCATAAAAAATAATGATCATGTAAATATCCTCCTACAATTTTATCTTGAGCAAACATATGTAAGTAGTGTAAGTACATACTACTGGCTACTGGTATCTACCTATAACTATCGATAGCTATTGATAACTATCGTTGGCCCAGCAATTGAAACCTATCGATGGTGCCAACTATCAATATTTCTCCACCACTAGTTCAAGCGGCTTGAAGCTTAGAACGTTTCATCACTGTTTGGCAGGTTCACAGTACAGTGGCTCGAGAATTTGGAGTTTGAAACGTCATCAGACTGTTTGAAGTTTGCTACATGACAAGTTTGTTGTACATGCAGATTGTTTGGAATTTGAAATGTCATGAGAAGTGTTTATTGGAACCATAGACATAGAAACATAGACTGAAAGGGGTTACTTTTGGAGGACTTACTATTTTTTTCTACTATAGCTCAGTCAACCAGTCAAAATTCAGATCCCCAGACCTCATTTCCCACCAGTTAGATTTAAGTCATAAGTCTATATTTCTATGTCTATGATTGGAACTGTTTAGACTCCTCCGTCGGATGTTAAGGCCAAAGATGTTTGAAAGAGTCCGTTCGCGACTCCACCAGTAGTAACTGCAATAAACTTGTGATCGTCACGTGTCTTATCGTACAATCTTACCCATTGAAGTTTCGCACCTCAAGGAGGGACAATTTCAATAAATCTGTATTCTTCTCGTTCATCTTAAAATCTCAAATCTTTAACCCTCGTTCACGACTATCGATCATCTGATCTCGTGTTTCCCCCATCGTGTTTGTAACAACTAATTAATACTTATTCTGTCTGTAACATTAAACCTCTTCGTTCGAATGGAATCGGAACACAGAGATCGCGAATAATTTTGTCATTTAAAGTAAGCTAGCTAATTGTAATTATTTTGTTTTTTTTTTCATCTTACTAATATAACTAACGAACATCAGGGAAACAAAAGTCGGTACTCTGTCGCTTCTCGATGAACGTCGAATTAAAAACAGAACTATGGTCTATAGTAAATTGGAAGTGTTGTTAAAATGTCGATGCTCTGTAGCACGACCAACGCTATTACAGATTACTGTTTTTCTGTTTCATAATATTACAACACGTATTCGCGCCTACTGCCGGCACAGCTACTAATAGTACATATTCGAGTCTCGATGGAACCGATCGGTTCCTACGTTCCATAAATTATTTCAATTCTACGCCACCGTTAATTACCATCGAGAGTTCATAGTTTGTGTGTCGTTAACCCCTGACGGAAATTTTTGGACGCTACGACGAATTTATACGATTATGGTAAAATTTATTTACATTTTTATTAGAAATAGAAAATGTACTTGATGTACTGCTTGCAGTTAAGTGATATATGTATGTATGTATGTTCTGACCGACAACCATAATTGGTGGTTTGTATACCTATACGTAAAAGAAATACAGAGAAAGATTATTTTAATGTTATTTTAACTTTATACTGTCTCTGGAAAGTGAGTCATTTAGTGTCTTTCAAAGTTAATTACGAATAAAATCTTTGGTAAAATAATGCCGTAAAAAAGTAATGTAACATATATTTTTCTGGAATCAAACAGTCCAAAATAATTTTGTAATCAATTTTTAAATTTCCATCAAGAAGTATATTTCTTTCAAAAATATATATTTAATTCAATAGAATACAATTGATTGTTTACTCGTACATGTTTGTGATTGTACTTGTTCCCTTACTTTCTACTAATTCTTGTTTCATCTCCCATTTCTCAGATGCAAACAATTTTTTACCACAGTCGTTATCGTAATCCAGATTATGTATCACGTCAGGGGTTTCATTTTCATTTAATATATACACCGCGATACGAAACGTGCGCGCCCTGTATTGTTCCATTATTTTAGGCGAGTCATACATCATTGAGCTTTCGAGCGAGTTTTGTCTCAAAATTAAAAAAAACTTAAAAATAAAACAATCAGGACACATAAGCAAGAATCGCATAAAAATTTGTACAGTCGCATTGTTATTTCGATAGTATGTGAACGAATGTCACAAATGTCAATGAAAGGTTAAAAAATAGGTAGCTGTCGACGTCTTAAAAATTAAATGACGAACCTAACAATTTCGCCTCAAACTCAAGTTACTTATACTCAAGTTAGTTGAAGGGCTTAAAAAGGTGGGTATCGACGTCTTAACCCTTAACTACACTGAGAGTACAAACGTACCCCACCATACACAATATAGTTATGTACCCTATAAACAATTTGCACACAGATTTACAGCAGATTGACAGCAGATATTGACAAAATCTGTCTAGAAATCCATAGGTATCTGTTTCTGCACTTTGCATGGGTTTTGTAGGCAGAGCCTGCTGGCAGAATCGTGAAGCAGATTGTTTATAACAGATCCTGCATCAAATCTGTAGCCATTCTGGTTACAAAAGCTTATAACAGGCATTGGACAAAATCTGACTGTGCAAGTTTGGCTATTTGGGTAGGTCAGAGTTGGTCAGTGTAGTTGAGGGTTAGCGATTAATTAAATGATAAACCAGTGACTGCAAATACTGTAAGACACCAGAAAGATGAGTATGTTCATCTGCTATTTTGATGCCAGTGAATGGATAAGTCTACATGGGGTCCAGGTTAGGGCTTTCCATTGCTTTCTCCCTCCAGAGGACCCAAGATGGCGGATGAACATACTCACTTCTATAGTGCCTTAACCTGGACCCGCTGTAGACTTATCCATCCACTGGGATTAAAATAGTGGATGTGTATACCGTCCTCTCTAGTGATCTAGCCTGCCGCGAAAGTCTATATTTCTAAGTCTGCGGTGATAGAGACCTTAGATCCTTAGATTAGTGATTAGTAGCACATTGTCACCCGGGGGAGGGGAATGTCGGTATCTCACTCCAAGGCCACGAGCTTGGCGATTTAGTGCCTGGCCTTCACAAAGACTCTAGGAGTCTAGGGGTGGCGTTACCCGGGGTAATTATTCCTCCCGGCGTTTCCACCCTTCCCAACTTTATAAGGCCCGTGCCACTTGGAGGGTTCGAGTGTACTTTGCTGATAGAGACCTAACTTTACCCTGTCTCCCTGAGAACCCCAAAATCCATAACCCCTCGAGAACAATGGCATGCGGAGTCTTATAGTATCTGTAGTCGCTGGACGAATCTAACCATTTCACCTTGATCTCAGGTCACCAAATATGGAAAGTCTAGCACGGGGCGCGCAGCTGGCCCGCATCGCCGAATATGAGAGTCCGCAAAAAACGGTGCCGCGTTTCTTAACGGGTTAATCCGTATCTTGACAAGCGTAGCGACGAACTCGCGTCGTCGTCGGTCACAATTTCGTTCCTACAACCGAACGTTTCACCGTAACTGTTGTTCGTCCATGATGATCGGCAGCGGCGGCGATCGCAGCGCCGCCAGCGTCCCTGGACCTGGTTAGTTAGCGACGCGTCTGCGCGTAAACGCCGATCTCGGCCTCGAACAAGATCTGGTTGATCCTGAGCTTCGCGACGGACCTGGAATAAGAATCCGGTATCTCCGCCAGTTGGACGGCGATGCTCTCGGCAAACTTCGCGAACTCCTCTTTCGTTCGTTTTCGTTCCGTTGACGGTTCAGTCTCCAAGTTCGTCTGCCCGGATTCGTCTGGATCACCTATCGGGCTGTTGTGGTCCGGCAACGAGCCGTTGTACAGCTTCATCGCCTTCAGGCTCGAGGACGACGACTCCTCCGCATCCTCGCTCAATGAAGCGTTGAACGAGCCGGTCCCGGAGCCGTTCGTCTCTTCGTTACAGTCTATGAATGTTATGCTCTCGGGGTCGATGTCGCTCACTATGTACTCCTCCTGCAACTTCGACGAGTCCTCCTCCTCCACCTTCTACGGAAAGAAAAATATAATGTTTCGCCTGTTCGTGATCATTGGACGAGATCTTTCTTCATGCAATGTTATATTCTTTCTAGGGGTAGTTTATACACTTTATTGGCTCGCCTAACACGCTGACTGCGGGAATTTTTAGTATTGCTGTTACGCTGCCCAAGACAATTAGGGGATCATGTATTGCTGTCGTTCTGCTCGTCAATGCGATGTATAATCTACGAAAAGTATTTATGCAAATATAACTATACCTCATGCAACGAGTCGAGTTAGTAACTACAAAGAAAGGAAGGTGATAACCATTTAAACTTTTTTTTTAGCATGCGAATGTTTTGGGTATTTTTACTGACCCGTCTCGTTGGATGGATAATAGCTGTTAATAGTGTTAGTACTGTACGGAAAAGTCAATCTAGTTGAAACTAATTGAAACATCAATTTAGTAAACCAACAACACTTGTTTGATTTTTATTGCTTGGTGGGTGTAATGGGATTGTCCACATTAGCGATACCCTAATTCTTTTGAGCAGTATAAATATATTAAATATTTACACTAATGGTCATGAGTATTTGCTTAGCAATATTACATTCAGTTTGCGAAAAGCCAATTTTCTTCGCGATAATAGCAGTAAAGTAAGCAGAATTCGTAATCATTTAGTGAAAATTCCAATTGTCTTTATGTGTATAAACATTAAAAATGTTCGATTGTTAAAAATGTTAAAATATCCATTACATCTGATTAATTTTGAACGAACGAATGCCTGAAAGTGATTCGACCATTTTTTAAATTGCCCTCCCCAGACAATTTTCTTGCGCATTGCCCTGAACTTTAATTTGCCTGTAGAACGCCAGCGAAGCAGAGAAAACTGCGCGCTCCTGATAATTATAATTACGTGGAGGGATATAATCACAATCGTATCGAATCGCGATCCAATGTGCTAGACGCGGTTCACACGATACAGAATTAATCACGCATTTCGATCTACCGGGAAACTCCGTGTTAAGACTTTCACGGGTACACGGTCTTTCC